GGCCTAGGGGTGCGTGAGCCTAATAAGGCCGGGCGAACAAACCACTCGCGCGTCACTGCCTCAGCATCGGGGGCGAACATAAAAGTCAACTGGCTGTTTTATACCCACATTTTCCAGGATGAGAGAGAAAAAAGTCAAGGCTAAGACAGTTTGGTAACTCAGCCGGGCCTGGTGGAAATCCTGACTATAAACTATCGCTATGACAAAAGGGGCTTCAAATTTTGTACGATCTTTGGATTTTTAAAATTGACTTTTAAAGTAAATGTTGTTGGTGTTGGTGCATCTCCCGTGCTGCCCTTTAAACCATGCAAAACACTTCTCGATATCACCACAAAACCTCACATAGCTGAAGGTAACATAATTATTATATGGAATCACTTTCAAGTTTACCCTTCGACTCCTCTGACTACACCAAAGGGATCATCAGAAGAACGATCAGTGCGAGAATTGCATTTAATCTAATAACCCCAAAGTGGCCGAAAAGCAAAATATATTTTCCTTTCACGGAAAATAATATTCCAGCGATGATCACCGGTCAGTGAACTGTGTGTAACAGAGCGCCGTTCTCATTACGGAGGGTGCATCGTATGTAGTCGCACGTCTCCGAGACCGTCTGGAAACTCAATCTCCTGAACGACTGATCCTATAAGACATACAGGCGAGTGGGATTTTATTTCATTCATTCCTCGGTTTCTTGAAGAAACCACCGCCTCGCTGAATGATGCACGTTTCCAGACAGCGGAACTAAAGCAACAGGAACACCCCCCCCCAAAAAAAAACCACCAAAAACAAAACCAAGATAACACACATGCGCGTAGGCGTATATCGTGTCCAAGGAAACCCAACTGATCTTGTGTAAAATATGTACAGCCTCTGCGTTCATGTGAAGGCTTATTATTGATAGAGAACGCGAAGATTAAGGCAGTATTTGGTTTGAATTCAGTCTTCGGTCTTGCTATTTGCCTTTCTGTTGGGGAAAATGATGTTTGTAAGTTTTCCCTCGTTCGTCTCAGAGAAGGTGATGTCACTCTTGCTGCTGCCACACCCATAATTCCCCATAGAACAAAATTACAATCGCGTGGAGGCTAGCAAGTGTAGCATGGCGAAAACTATAGTTAAATGCCAGATGGCAAGTCCTCACACAGAAAAATGCTGAATCGGTTTAAGACAAGACTTGCATGGTCTGTGGTTTACGTTTGGGGTCCTGACATGTAGCGACGACTTCACTCAAATTTGGAGTCTTATTAAAGGGACCATTCCTTGCCACACGAAAGGTGGAAATGAAATAAACTGACGGGTTTGTGTCCTGAAAATCAGTAAACGCATTACAATGATTTGGGGGGCAACATCCACGAGCCGGCAAGAATCAGTGTTGAATTGTTTCCACACAGTCTGAATCTTGAAGGATCTCCTGGAATCCTGACCTATAAAGCCCGTGATATTCACACAGGTTGAGCGATCCCATCCACAGCATCACTGCGCGCCAAGATCTCGACGAGGGGACTCTCGGTCTGGCACGTGGCGACTCAACTTGCCCGCGTCACACGAGCCAATGACTGCGCAGCACGCACCCCTCCCCCACCGCTCCAAACTTCGCTCGTTATCAGCCTTCACGTAGGCCATCCAACCGTAGCGGAGACTCTGGAAGGGGTCTCCTACGCGCCGGTGGGGAGACCTGTCAAGACAATGACGGGGAAGCTCGCGCGTTCTCTCTGCCTCGAGGGTTACCAAGTTGCCTCACTCGCCGTCTCCCCCCCCCCCCCNCCCCCCCCCCCCCCATCGCTCTCTCCGTAGCACTCTATCGTGTGCTGATTCTATCTATCCTGTCCCCGCGAGCAAAAGTCGCGCCGGCAGTCCAACAATCCTGCGTGTGAACACGGGAGCAAATTTCCGGAATTCTCGAACTGGGATCGGTGGCCGGGGGTGATATAGGCGAAAATAATTTTTCCAAGAGGTCTTTCTGTGATTAATGGTGGACTTTGCACCGAACACCGTCGCTGGAGTATACGGTGGTTTGAGATATTCGGGACGAGCAAGGCTTACGGTAATTGATACGACAGCAGGTTTGTAGTAATTGATACAGTGGAGATGACAATCACTGGATGTTCTCGTTGGAGCAGATGAGATGGTGGCAGTATTGAGGAAGATAATGCTACCGATAATGAAGATGATAGTGTTGATGTTTTGATGGGGAGTCCAATGATGGTGTCGATTGTGATGACGGAGATCACTATAGGGTTGTCATGGTGATGCCCACGATACAGATGTTTCGGTTATCAGCAACCGCGGTTCACAGCAGCTGGTGGCCGGGACGAAAAAGTGGCGATTCTTGTTGGGATCTTGAAGAGGGTCAGTGGTGGCTGTAATGACTGACATCGGCGCTGCCGAGGGTGGCGATTCTAACCGAAAGACGGAGCATAATGGCACACCCAGTGTTGTCCACGGTGATGTCAGTGGTTATCTACGTTCAGGAGAGGGCTTCCGCAGGAACGCTTGTGAAGACCATTTGTCGCTGCGGCACCACCGCTTCGATCCACATCCTCTCTCAATTCCCCCCAAAGTAATAAGCTGCCTGATTATGCATAATTATCAAATGCACACGACACTGGCCCAGGTCGTCAGACAAAGGCTGGAATTGACCTGGAGCGACGCAGCCCGGTTGTCAAGAGCAATATTCCTCTGTTGTTTGCTCACACCCGTGTGGAAGGAAGAGGGGGGATTTTTCCAACGGATAATTGCTTCCAAATGTCTCCCTTGTCAGGTATCTCCTCATAAATTCGGGTTGACATAGCTGACCAGCGGCTCGAAACTCGAGATGCACCGCTGTTATTCGGAATGCAAGGCTGGTGATGCTGTCGCCACGGCAACCCAAGTAGCTTGGTGATCATCGGAACCGTCCTGGGAGGGTTCCATCTTTCAGGAAGTTTGTGAGGCAAGTTAATTCCCCTCTAGGTTGTCGAGCAAACAAGTCTGAGCTCCTTTTCTTGGGCTGAGCTTCTTTTCTCAGTGTGCGTGTAACTATAGCTTTCCAGGAGTAACAGTATACGAAGCTAACATTTTAGAGATATTAGTTGGGGAACTAATACACCGTGAATATTGGACCGAACATGGACAGTAAGCTGGGAGGGGAATACGAGATGGGCAAAGTTTCTGCTCCCTGGACCGATAAAACGGGAAGGAGACATAAGTGAAAACGGGATCCTAGTGGGGAATGGACATCACTGTCCAACGAATACGGATTAATCGCAGACCAACCAATCTCAGCCAAAAAACACAAAGGGCACGCTTGTGAGGTGATTTCTCAAGTATATCGTAAATGATTCAGTACTGGCCACACGATCAAATGAATGAAATCATGCCTGCAAAACCTCCGTGCATTGTCGGCAGAACATTCAAAAACACCGATGTTTAAAGGCAATTTCTGTGCTATGGGACGTCTCACATTTCTACTACGGATTCGGATGATATGATTTTTCTAGATTTATGACTTCGATTCAGTTCAATTCAATACCAATATAACTTTTTACCCCATTAAAGGGAAATCCCCTAGGCCTTTTTACACGCATAAAAAGAACATTTAGAAAAATAAAAAATTTAAGAATCAATATGGCTGATAGCTACATAATAAAAGCTTACTAATACCATACCATAAACAGATTATCATACAGCATTAATAGTTATAAAATAAAGCGGGGAAAACAAACGTTTCATCATCCTGGTAAACGAAACTGAGAAGAACTGCAAAACACCTGCTCATTGTATCACTTTTAATTAATAGCTGATGGAACAAATGAGCCACCGTAACGCGCAGTTCTTATTCTCCGTTGTACCAGCCAGTGTAACTTCCTGGACTATGAATAAACCTATTATGCAACGGATGACACCTATCTGCCATGATCAGAGCGATCTTACAGCGCATGTTCGACTCAATTAAATCCACCAAAAATTCCCCCTGATGGCCAACAACCCTGCTAGCTTATTAACTATTGTGTCCAACATATTTTTTGATCTTGAATTTTCTTATTTCCAAACACACAGGTTAAGCAGAAGGTAAGAACACTTTGTAAAACTGGCAGAACGTCATTTTAAAATATTGTTTGCCGAGGACTGTTGTAATACGGTGCAGGTTGACGTTGTAGACCCAACATATCGTTTCAAGGTATCTCCCATGCATTCAAATCTTCACCCAGAAGATTCTATGGGGGGGGGACACATTTTTACTTTGAAGGGGCAGTAGAGACTCTGGTTTTTAAAGTAGATGCTTTGTAACACGGGCCACCGTGTCGAACAGCGCCCTCTCGTGGAGTCTTATCGTGTTTGTTTAACCCTTGTAGCTGATTCGATACCAAAATCTCTTTTTGTCTGTGCTGCTGTTTGTTCATTTTACTCAATCAATGTAGCTGAATGCCTGTATCTTCTCTTCCATCACCAGAAGGAATCAAAAGGATTTTGTGCATCTTCAAAACTTTAATTTGGAACAGTTTCCCTACAACCTTTGATGAATATGTGCGTGTAAACTGCTATTTAAAATGAGGGTCAAAATGCTCAGTATTTCTTTTTTGGAAGATCTTGGTTGGAATTCTGTTCTACGAACGCACCGAACAGACCTGTGCTAATCCTACTACGGTCACAGTCATCAGAAATCTTTCTTTTCAGGTTACCTAAAAATGTAGGGCGCCGGGTAGTTCATGAGCGCCATCCATCACATCCTTCCCATCAGACCAACGACCGCCCGTTAACTACCAGCCCCAAAACTAAACACCGGGCAACGACTTCCCTTTTGCTTGACCTGTCGAGAGCGCGGGGGTCAGACTCGGCGGCGCGATTTGACAGCGGAATTCCAGCAGTGATAGAGATCAGACTCGGTTCTTTTTTCCCCCAGATCTCACTTTTCCCTCCTCCTTTTATAATTTTCATGTGGAGGTGGAACTGTGTAAATTTGAGACATAATTCACTTTCGTGGACCAGACTATATACGGTAAAGAACTTAAAGGACTTACTTCCTGAGTTCTTCCCAAATGTTTCCAGATTTTCAGAGAGACAGACATCCTCCTTGTACGCAGAAACACTTGGTTTAAAAGCTAACTGCAGGACATCAATGCTGACTGTTCGAAGGCAAATTTGTACTTGAACCTGAAACAACAAACGAACAAAGCAAGGGTGTGAGATAAAGAGAAAATGTGGAAATTCACAAGAAAAAATAATTCTCCTCAAATGGCTCACCGTGATTCCGGTTTCTTTCGCTCATACGTGTGTCTCAAGATAAGCGATTTCACAGGATGCCTATCATAACTCCAAAATACTCGACCTGTACAGTGAATGACATGACTGCTCAGTGGTCTTTCACTTTTCAATGCCTCTTAACATCCGTTCTGAAATTTGCGCATCAATTCCGAACGTGGCCGAAAAACTACCATTAATTAGTTTTCTCTTAACCCTCCCCCAAAAAAACAACAAAAAACAAACAAAAAAACATCCCAAATAGATCGGAAAGTGTTTGTCATCGATGTGTTCTCTCTTCAGGCTTCAAGCATGAACAACTCACATAACCCGTTCCTCGCCGCACATTTTCAACTCTATTTCCGCACTGCCCAAACAGTCTTTAAGGCGGTTGACATTTAAGGGTCATAATTTACGGAGTGTTATTGTAATGAAACGCGCACTTGAGCCGGCGCGTAAATGTTGTCATCGCCCTCCGTTCACCCCTGCTGCTCCCCCCATGAGTGCTTTACGACGATTCGGTCTGAGGTGACTACCGGACAACTGCCCCTTTTACACTTTGACCTCAGACAGCAGTTCTAGCATGAGCTCACTACATAGAGTCAGGGAACCAATTACAGATACATATGCTACAAAACCCTGCTGGTATCCAAGATGCAAAGGCAAATCAAAGTGCTGGAAAGTGGTCTACATGTATCCTCTTTTCGTAGGCAATATTACAACAGGCAATCGTAACAAAATACAAACTCATCTGTGATTGGGTGAGGTGACTCAACTAAAGACCCAATGGAAATTGGCTTATCGTCTTCAATTTTGCGAGGGTCATGCAATGATTCTGTAGATTACCAAAACATAAGTATGATACACGCTGAAGCACGCCATAAATGTAAGAAACTTCTTTCAGCGAACCTTTCAAGTTTTTGAGGCTTTTGGAAAAGATGAAGTGTTTTAGTCATGAACTATGAAAAAGGTGTGGTTTACGAACCAAGCGTGCGTTCATGTGTTTCGTGAGGTTGAGAGTAGTCATGGAGACGGTAAGGCCGTGTATATGCATACGATGGCAAAGAAAGTGAGGCTGGTTCGGGGCAGTAAGTGCGATGTCAAGGCGGATGAGGTTTACGGTAATTTTATGAGGATTTCGCATGCAGTCTGCGAGATTGGTACGGACGAGTGAAAAACTGTTTAAAAGCGTGTATAGGGATGGCAAGCCGACGGCCGAAGAACGTGTAACGGTGTGCTTGGGTTTCGGTGAGGTTTTTGAAGACTACAAAGGAATATGAAAACAATGATGATGCGGTTGATGTCTGTTATGAAATGGAGTTGAATGATAGGCCTTTGATATGAGGTTAAATCATCATGAGCCTTAATCACTCAGTTCACAATTGTGCGGAGGACGATGATGGAGTTTGTGTGGGACGTGGGTACAATGAGGCTCGTGTGAGCATTTTCGACGAGACTTTGATGAGGTTTATAAGAATAGTATAGTAAGGATTGTTGAGTTGAGGAAGATGGGACCCGTTAACTATCATACAGGTTTTATGAGGCAAATATGTATAGCACTGTAGTACACTTAGTCTGTAGTGTCTTTTGCAAGGAGCATCATGGTGCCCACTGAGGTTTGAGGTGAGTAATGAAGCCGACAGTGTCGCCGGTTGGTACATGTATGTTGACTACAGGTATAATGAATGTGTGGTCTGAGGGATGAGATTAGTCGGCTCGCTGATGGGATGCATTGATGGGTGCTGAGGCTAGCCTTGGCGAGGAAATCTTGCCGGTGAGAGTTAGGCGGTTAGTTGAGGTCCGTTCAGACACTAGTGTGGGGATCGTACAGGGGGCTGCCCGACATCACGGGATTAAAAAAAATTGGTGATATGCTTAGTAAATTGGTCTCTCCATTATTGGGTTGTGGCATTGATAAGACTTAACGAAGCAAACCCCTTGGTGGAAAGGTCAATGGGTGGGCTTAGAGGTATGGTTGTTGGGTTGACGAGGGTAAAATTAAAATCATGATACTCGCGAGACAGATTTACAATAAGCTTCAGTAATGTTGCTTCTGTCTTGATTTTCTTATGAACAAACGTTCAACCGTGACGAATAATGGCGATTCGTAGCCTTCAAAGAGGTCTAACAGTTGAAAGACGTTTTGCTCACCCTTTACACTTGCACGTCTCATGAATAGCGCCTAACTGATTTCTTCTCTCTCTCTTTCTTCAAAGGTCGAGGCCGAGCGTGGAAACACATGCACGTATACGTTTGTACATGTGCGGCGCTCAAGCATTCTATTCAGGAAGGCACGGATGCCCGTTTGAGGCTTGCCATACCGAAGCACTTCTTCACCGTTAATAACTTCTTTTGCTCGTTATCGTTAATGCTTTGAATTGTTCATTCCGCGGCATCAGCGGCAAGATCAAATGCCTCGTGCAGCACTCGAACAAGGCACGTTATCTCTCCCCTCGCTTCACTGCATCCTTTTTTCCCCTCGCCTTTCTCACAAGGCAAGCCCATCCTTCCCTTATCAGTTTATCCTCTTTCTGCTCCGATCGGGAGACTCGCTGGCCAACCCCCCCCCCCGAGCCTTTCAAGTACACGCGCCCGGAGTTGGTCAAGGACAGGGAAGATTTTCTCAGAAACTGAACTCCGTTTTCGCGTACAACGGCGACTACAGCTTCGAAAAATTGTGCGGCGCCAAATCTATTCATATACGGAAGGTTTATGGTACGGGATAAAGCATTTAAACCATACTATTCTCTCTGCCCAGAACTATAGGTTTTTTAAGATCATTAAGGCTACGAACTACTTTTTCATCCTGAAAAAAAGGAAAGTACAATGTGTACAATACGGCCGTTTCACAATAGTGAGCCACCAAGAATTTGCAACGCGTTGGCCAATCACAATGCGCGAAATTTGTCGACCCAGTGTGCGTTTGGAAATGGTCGACATATTTCGCGCATCATGATTGGCCAACGTGCTGCAAACTCTTAGTGGCGCACTATCATGAAACGTCCGTATTAATATGTGTCAATTATGGAGTGAAAACAATAATTCCTTGCGATTTCAACATCTTTTCACAATATACAGGCTGATATACCTGCCTTATTTGAGTTTCGTAAATTTCGCTTCACACTTTCGACGCCGTCAACTGTTGCGAGTTACACTAGTACTCTTACAAGCAAGTTAAACGGGACACTTTCAGCCAAAGATATTTGGCTCAAGTAGAACTTATGCACGTCTAGACCCTATTTAAACGTAAGGCAATGCCCTGTCAAAATTCCTGATTTTGCAAATAAGAAAAGAAATTGGAATACATGTATATATTCGTAAGCAATTATAGATTAGCTTTCAGGGATGGATATCACACACGTACTGTTTGGTTGATGGGGTATTTCTGCCAAGGGGACCTATCCATTCAAGCGAAACACACCAGGAGTCTGGCCCAGTAAAAAGTGTGGTTCGTCTGGCCATAATTTCTATGATGACAGTGGCAGCCTCGATTATCCCACCGAGTGTCCACAAAACACGTATAAAGCAGGTTAAATGCAAAAATGTACCGATGGTGGAAATGTGAACGCTTTTTATGGTACTCGGCCAGTGCCATAAAGTAGTGGAGCGAATGCGATGTTGTTTCTGAAACTAGCTCCCTTGTTGCAAAGTGAACTGCAGCCATTTCTTGTGTAGTATTTAACCCAGACATTTGGTAAATTCGCTGCCCAGTCAAAATGGCCACCGATCCAAGGTCATTGGTTGATGCTTAGTTTTCATGCTGAAGATAAGCAGCAGGCGGGTTATGGCTCAGTCCCCGGTGACCATCTTGCCAATGCTTCTTCAGCTGACATGTTTTCCCGAGGGCCAGATTAACCAGATCGAGATTATCGAGGGTACGGTTGACATCATTTGAAACGGGGGGGGGGGCTTCTGTACGGTGACAAGAGATGGCGCCTTGTCACCAAGCAACAACATCTCTTCCCAAAGTGAGACAACCTTGCATTTTCGTTTTGACGCATCGTTCTCCATGGTACTTCCGTGTGGGCCTAACAAGGGTGGCTCCTGGTCCCACCATTGTGGTTCGAGGCCAGAGAACCACCGTGGTCTGTACAGAATTCCAACACGCCTGCGTTTTCCTATTGTGTATACATATCGCAATGCAAAGCCTCATACTGCATTGGCTAAAGATACTGCTGTTGGTTTTCAGAACCGAGCATCCCTTCGCAGCGGATCTGACAGTATGGGGCGAATAACATCCTGATTATTTTTATGTCTCTTTCAAAAGCTCGGTTTTTCGAGATGTTTTATTCACTTTTTTACTTCAGGAAAGAGGAAACGATCTCATGACACCCGGAAAGGCTCATATCTAGGTGCTGTTTCTACCCGAAGTAATAAGTGTCATTAACAATAAAAAAAAAAGTAGTTCTTCGATTGTTTTTTTGTCAAAGAAATAGAGGGGCAATCTGGTATAATGGCAAGCGCTGTTTCGAGAAAACATTTGGATTTTCGTTGGAATTTTGTCGGATGGTAGCACAAAGACAAGCCCTATTTTCTGTCATATTTAGTAGGCCAACCAGATTTATTGAATACATGGAGAGAGCTTTTCCCCAATTTGGGGGGCTCGTAGTGCTGGACAGACCTGGAGCAACGCAGACGAAGCGACTAACGACACCAATATTTACGCTGGATCAGAGTAACCAGCCCGTCTGCATGAACTTCACGCCCGAAATCACCGGCGCCAGCCAGACAGCGACTCCGTCCGCTTCAAAACGCTTGGACGAAACCCAGACGCCCATGCTGAACCACCACGCTGGCCCTGGTCGCCCGAAGATCTACCCCATAAATCCCTCAAGGCCTCGGGGCCTGGGGGACCCGGTCCTGGTCGTGACCCGAACCGCGTACCCAGGCTCTCTCCTGGATGACAAGGACCA